TCTTCAATATCAAGAGGGCTAAATTTCTGGCCGAAAAGGCGTCGGACAGCATCTGACTGAAAACGCGAGTGAAAATTTAAATACTGAAGAGTTACAAGCACGATTTGCATAAACAGAATGACGCGTTTATTCTGACCGGAAGTGAAAAATAAAAGAGGACAGTAAAGTTTTAAAACAAAATAAACGTTAGTCAAACTTAAGATCCTTACAAGCGTTGAAGCTGAAAAAGTAGTTTTATAAAAATATGTGATATGGAATGCCAGAACATTTATTGCCCTTTCAGAAATAGTAAGAAATCTAGTTCTAACTCCGATCCAGAATTTATCAAGGATTTTGTACTTAAAATAAACGATTTATATTTTCGATTTATAAACTGCCTTACATGAAATTTGCTAACAACATAAAGGGGCTTTGCCCCCTAAATCGTATACACTCAGTTTCTCACGATATATCTCAGTTCCCGCTACTGCTTCTGAAATAAACATTTATTCTGCATTTTATGCGACTTCAGAATATTCAGAAGATTCTGTTACTGAAATTCAAAATAATACATATGATCTTGGGGGGGAAGGGAGATCCTGAATATTATATAGCATTCAGAAAATCATAAGTCATCCAGGAGATCCAGAAAATTATGCATTGTCTTACTTTAGTAGTATTTAAATTTAAGTAATGTTAAATATGAAAAATAACTATTAGAGTATGTGTAGCTTTTATTGTAACGATTAGCATATCCAGCTAGTAAACAAGAATACCAGCTGCTCGATTTGTAGTGAAAATTTAATTGATTTTTTACTCAATTCGGAAAAAAAAACTGTAGACTTTACGATGGTGTCCGATCTACTCAGGTAAACTTTCCGGTTTGATATACATCTAGAAAAGATGAAGAAATGTTTAAGTTTATCTTCAATGTCATTTCTATGTACACCTTGCACAAGGTTCTACTGGACCGATTGTCGAAATTTAACTTGCATTTTCCATGTTTCGAAAGCACGCACGACTTAGGATATATATTAGATCTACATATAGCATTTTTCTAACATATGTATTTTGACACAATACCGGACTTCTGAATTAACATACCACCATTTTACCATATTTCGATTCTACGACGGAAAGTATGCCTGGATATTAAATTTTACAAATTTCGGTGAGAAATTTAAAAAATTTATCTTGGCGCATTTTTTTTCAGCTTGCACCAAAAATAATTAATTGACTTTGCGAACTTTTTAATTTATAGCAACCTACTTTCCTTTCCTTTTTCCCACTGTACACGAGCGGAAAAAATGTCATAGTTCATACTTTTAAATAATTTTAACAAAGTGCGTTAATCACATTTGGCGTTATTATCGCTTATAACAAATATGCCAAATTTAAAAACACGTCAGTGTGTAAATTCATGTATGTCTTAGGAAATTTTGAATAAAAAACTCTAATTTTTGGCAGGTATCCTTAGAAATACATCTACTTTGAGATGTTGGTAAAAATTTTCCAGTTTATAATTCAAAATTTGTTTCGAAAAATTTATAAAAAATTACTTAAAAGTACAAATTTTAAAAATAAATCATAAAAAGTCGGTGAATTTTATTTGTAAGGAACCTAAATTTCGAAACGTGAAAGGAAGAATCAAATAAGTTTAATAAAAAAAAGAGATACTAATAAATGTACTATAACAAATTCAATTAACTTGGAGGAGCTAAAATTTTGAGAGCTAATATTTAAAATCTACTCGTGCAATTTTTATAAAACTTAGCACTTTGGCATAATTTGATTCGTAGAATCGAAATATGAAAAAAAAAATGGCATGGTATTTCAGAAAAAGTCCGATTGTGTGTCAAAATACTTACGTTAGAACAATCCTGCATGTACATATAATATGTATCCTAAATCGTGCTTTCGAGGCATGTTCCACAACATGTCTTGACATGCGTCTTCATCATTATATTTCCTTCTCCGTCAGATTTGAGTTTGGAGAACAAACTAGAATAACGTAGAACTAAATCCAGACTGTAAAGGGAGTGGAAAACCATATTCTCATTCTTGAATTGCAGCGACAAGTTATTGCTTTTCAATTGCTGAAAGAACCAGGCGTACCCACATTGCAGAAACATTTTTCCCGTTAACATGTTCGTGAAGAATGCACCAAATAGTTGCATTACATAGATTAAATTTTGCTGTTATTTTCTGTTTCGGTTTATTTCCTCTCGGAGACGAGTAATGTATTTTGCTGTCAATACCTGTAATGATCGACCTTCAACAGTTGGAATTTTTTATGGATTTTTTACCTATGCGAACTTGTTTGCTAGGCTCTTTCCAGTGCTGACGTCACTTGTTCACAGAAGTGGAAGATAGCAGCCACAAAGAAAAGAGTTGCTTTTGAGCAGACTAACCGTCAGTATGTCAAACAAGAACAAACCTTGAAGTATATTAACCTTCATTGCCTTTGTCCTTTCTTTCTATGCAAAATAGGAAGCAGAAAAATGTCTATAAACATGATCCATGATTATTTAAGTGTAAGACCTTCCATATAGTTAAAAATTTAATCACAGGATATTATTCAGCTTCAAACATTTCAGAGCAAACTATAGTAAGTTACTTTAAAATAGGCACTTCAAGGCCTTTGTCAGCACCTCTCCGTCATTTGCGGTCGTAACTCAGGGCATCATCACCGCACTGCATTTATTTTCTACACGTCATTTGAGAAATCAAACTGGCCGGCGTAAAATAACATTGAAGCTCCTGTTTTAAAGTAATAGACTCTATTAAATCAATCAGAAAAGAACGATACGATTTCCCTAATGAAACTGTCAAATTTGCATGATCCGGATAATTTTAGTTAACATTATTCTGTTGCTTTTAGTATTATTGCATTTCACAGTACAGTCATCACGATTTTTTTTTAACAGGAAAAAAGAAACAATATTTCTACGGAAGAGAACCTACTATTTCTACGGTTGCCTACTATTTCTATGTTCAAAGTTACCTATTTTTTTCTAGGTGCTAAGTTACCTATTATTTCTTTTTTTCCAAATACCTATTATTCCTTCAGTTGCCTATTATTTCTATGTTATAAGTTACCTATTTTTTCTATGTTCTAAGTTACCTATTATTTCTATGTTCTAAGTTACCTATTTTTTCTAGGTTCTAAGTTAACTATTTTTTCTATGTTCTAAGTTACCTATTATTTCTTTGTTCTATGTACCTATTATTCCTTCCGTTGCCTATTATTTCTATGTTCTAAGTTACGTATTTTTTCTAGGTTCTGAGTTACCTATCATTTCTATGTCTTAAGTTACCTATTATTTCTTTGTTCTAAGTACCTATTATTCCTTCCGTTGCCTATTATTTCTATCTTCTAAGTTACCTATTTTTTCTAGGTTCTAAGTTACCTATTATTTCTATGTTTTAAATTACCTACTCTTTCTTTTTTCTAAGTACCTATTATTCCTTCAGTTACCTATTATTTCTATGTTCTAAGTTACCTATATTTCTTTTTTTAAGTACCTGTTATTCTTCAGTTGCCGATTATTTCTGTGTTCTAAGTTACTATTTTTCTAGGTCTAGATACCTATTTCTTTGTTCTAAGTACCTATTATTCCTTCAGTTTCCTATTATTTCTATGTTCTAATTTATCTATTATTTTTTTTTGTTCTAAGTACCTATTATTCCTTCAGTTGCCTATTATTTCTGTGCTGTAAGTTACCTATTTTTTCTAGGTTCTAAGTTACCTTTTATTTCCATGTTTTAAGTTACCTATTATTTCTTTGTTCTAAACACCTATTATTCCTTCAGTTACCTATTATTTTTTCGTTCTACGTTACCTATTATTTCTTTATTCTAAGTACCTAGTATTCCTTCAGTTGCCTATTAATTCTATGTTCTAATTTATATATTATTTTTTTGTTCTAAGTATCTAGTATTCCTTCATTTGCCTAATTTTTCTATGTTCTAAGTTACGTATTTTTTCTTTGTTCTAAGTACTTATTATTCCTTCAGTTGCCTGTTATTTCTATGTTCTAAGTTACGAATTATTTCTTTGTTCTAAGTACCTATTATTCCTTCAGTTGCCTGTTATTTCTATGTTCTAAGTTACGTATTATTTCTTTGTTCTAAGTACCTATTATTTCTCTGCTGTAAGCTCCCTATTTTTTTTTAGATTATAAGTGACGTATTACTTCTTTGTTCTAAGTACCTATTATTCCTTCAGTTACCTATTATTTTTTTGTTCTACGTTACCTACTATTTCTTTATTCTAAGCACCTATTATTCCTTCAGTTGCCTATTAATTCTATGTTCTAATTTATCTATTATTTCTTTGTTCTAAGTACCTAGTATTCCTTCAGTTTCCTATTATTTCTATGTTCTAAGTTGCTTATTATTTCTTTGTTCTAAGTATATATTAATCCTTCAGTTTCCTATTATTTCTATGTTCTAAGTTGTAGAGTTATTAGTTTATTTTGAAGCAAAAGACATGAAAATTGAGCAATGCCTTCGCCGGGTCTCGACCCTGGACTTCTGGAATACGCGCTGAGTGTGCCACCGTTACACGATGACGTCACGGAAAAGCAGAGAGAAAATATCTTATTTACTTCCCCTTTCTAAAGGGCTACTGGGGATTAAGGAAACCAATCGCCAAATCCTGATGGTGAATAATCATCTTTCAGCGACTTTTCTTGGTTCGGGAGCCAATGGAGAGTCATTAGAATTTTTTGAAGCAGGAAACGTGAAAAATGTGTAGTGTCCTCGCCGGGACTTGAACCTGGACCTCTCGAATTCGAGCCGAGTGCGCTAGCGTTACACCATGAAGGCATGCAGAAAGGAGGGAGAACACACCTTAGAACATTACCATTTCTATAAATTTTCATTAATAAAATGGAACCCTTCCTCCACACCTCAACAAAATGGAAACTTCCAAACTACTCGCCAGCTGAGAGAGTTTTCAATAACTGATAAAATATTGAAAGGCGAGGTAACCTTTATCTGAATAATAGATTATTTGGAAGCAATCGGTGGAGAACAAAGGTAAAACCGCAAGATAGATAATAAAGAATGTCCCACTAACGCACCAGTTTTCTAAAACTCATTCGTTCTAAAAATCCATAACTTAAAATTTGAAACGTAAAGACTAAGAAAAGGCTCTGGTTTTCCGTTGTTGAGTTCACTTTTACAGGTAACTAAATTTTTAATCTTTTCTCGTTATAGGAAAGACTTTCCAAACAAAATTGCCTACAAAAAAATATATGAACCAACTTTGCCTCTCGGCCGCTATTAAACTAAATGTGCTGCTTTTAACTCTGATAACAATGGTTTTGTATGCAAAATTAGTACTTTCTATAAAAAGGTTTTAATGTATGTCTATCACGCTTTATTTAAATAATTAACTTAAGATATATATTTCTTCGGTTCAGAAAATTTTACGGCAATCGCAATGAACCGATGACTTAACTTTGTTTTCTTGCTATAGGTAATAATTTTGGGCATATATCTTTTTAAAAAATAGTTTGGCGCGTGTGGTCCTGCAACGGAGAGAATTCTAAATTTTAAATATTATTCTAAACTTACATTGCAGACTACAATTAATAAGATTAGTGGTCATGTTCACCTTTCATTATGTTATTATTAAATCACAGTGTTAACATGTATGTGTTTTTATCATAGAATCTGCCATGTATCAAGAATTTAAAAAAATTTAGAAAAAAGAAAGGTTTTAAAATTTAAGATATCCGACTACTTTTTAATATCCAATTTTCATGAAATTTTTAAAAACATTATTACTTTATTTTAAAAGCGTATACATTAACTACTTTTAAAACTACTTTTATTTTGTCTCACCAATTCTTAGTAGCAGAATTAGGGCTCATTTTATTCTACGCCCTGAAACTGGAGCTTCTGTTTAAGGACCTAGAAGCTGATGCCCAAGGTACACAGACTACTCTAAATAACTTTAAAAATGAGAGTTTTTCATTTGAATATTTTTAGTGATGATGAAAAAAGGATTCTGAATCTTTCTTTTCGCTAACAAGTGCTCGGGAATGAGATTAGTTGAAATATTTTCAGCTTTCTTGTTACGAAAAATATTTTAATTTAGAATATTATTATAGCAATTTTATAAAACGTTTCACAAATGTTCCATGAAATATTTTCAATTAAATTAAACAAAATTTTAAGTTTATGTGAGTATCTAAAAATTTTTGATACAATTTTGTAAATGAAAGGAGAGAATTTTCTCGAAAAATAGCTAGTGCATGTACACAAGCAAGTATGTTTAATAGACATTTTACTTAACCAGTTTAGTCCATTTAAATCCATATTACATTAATAAGTGTAATTGACAAAAATAAAAAGTAAAATGCTGATAAATATTTTTGTGGGAACATATCTAATAATCCTGAAATTTAGCACAACCTAAAATGTAAGAAAGAAACCAAAATTTATACTTTGGTGATATGCTTATCACTTGTTTCTATCATTTTAACAAGTTCGCTGCCCAGAGACATTCTCAAAAACGGTTCCAACACGCCAACAAATTTTAATTAATTAATTGTAAAATAAAAACACAAAACATATATTTGTGGGAAAGGTAGTGAATTTAGATAATTTTTAATTGCTTAATTACTTTGTAAGACTTTCACTGTGTAAATCTCAGTTACTGTAGAAAGTGACGAATCTGAAGAACTAGTTAGCAAATAATCGCTTAAGTTCGTGTGACAAGAAACAACAAGATGGCAGGGAACTAACCCTTATTATTCCAATGAGATTTAACAAAAACTCCGTCTTGGAATGTACAATCAAAGCGACACTTGGGGTTGAACGGGGACAAGAATTAACTAAAACTAATTCTAAAGAAATAAGGCCGAGCATCAAGTTTCTAATGCAGATGACGCGAAGCTATCAAGGGCCTGAGTACGGCGAGTAATAACAGCTTGAGAGAGAGAGTGGCCAAAAGGCAGGCCAACGCGTAAATCAGAACCTCGATTTCTCGTAAGACCAAGACTTCGCGGTTAAATCCCGCTCTTCCTCATTTATGTATTCGCCGTGATTCTAAAAAGGCGTTCTGGCGTTTCTGGCCGGCCAGGAAAGGTTAAAATTTGTTAATAAAATTAACATAATCCTTACAACTTATAATAAATTGCTTGATTATTTGTAAAGTTAATAAATTGCTTGATTATTTGTAAAGTTAATAAACTGCTTGATTATTTGTACAGTTACTATGTTATTTATTTTATAATTACTTATATTATACTTATATGAATTATAATAAATCTCTTGAGATGTGCCAAATTTTTGCGTTTTTTCCTAATGCCTAAAGCTTGATACCTTCAAAGAACATGAAAATACTACGAGTTTGATCGTGTGTGGCATAGATAAAACAAAAATGTTCTATGAATTAACTCGTAACTGAATGTGTGTGATTATGGCAAAGCCTTGAGAGCTATCTGCCTAAGAGGAGGGATGCCTTCGTGGAGGACTTTCTAAGGAAAACTGGCTCGTATACACGTTACACATGGGAAAACCACGAAACCCCCATGCAGCCAGCCCGTTCGCGGATCGAACTCGGCCGAACTACCAGTGTTCAGCGATTTTACCGCTCGTCGCTGGTGGGCCCGTAACTGAATGAATTAACTCGAAGGGCGCACCGCTCGGCCTTTAGTGAACCGTTCTCCACAAAGGTACCCTCCACCTAGGCAGATAGCCCTCGTTTTCTTTACAATATTTAATTAACCTAACCTATGTACTGTAGGATAAAATGAGAAACGAACTAATAAAAGGAGCACAAGATCAATTGCGTTTCAACTAAAATTCGATTTACTAAATCCTTCGAAGTTCACTTCAAAATCAAATGGCTTCAAGTGACGCCAGAAAGAGAACACACGTGAACCTTAATTCCGCGAATTCTTTCGGGTCGGAAGGGCTTACTCGAAAGTGTGTCCCTCTTTTCTCGAAACCCTAAAATAACATTCTTGTGCACAGCTGCATTGAATGTACCCTCTTTGCAGAACTATTTACTTCCTCAAGCATTTTCCTCCCGCAAACGTTTTGTTCCCCTTATTACTTGTCGGTTATAGTATATCATTGTTCGAAAGCCTGGGATAAATCTTCAAATGAATGACTTCAAAACAAAAGATTTAAAAAAAAGGACTTTCAAAAAGAAAAGACTTTCAAAAGGAAGTACCTGAAAGATACACTTGCAGCAAGTGTATCTTTCAGGTAATTCGGGTAATAAATTAAGTAATTTTCATCGCAAGTTTCTTCGCAACGAAAAACGTGAATTTTATACCCCGAAATATACAGTAACTACTTTGCTATGTCTTACGGCATATAGGAAAAGATCCGATGCCTATAACTTTCCTTTATTTCTGATGTCGACAGTATTTAGTTTGCTGAGATTCTACCCAACAGCCCTACTAGAAGAATCTAAATATTTTCACACATCGGCAACGAGGGTTGCGTACGGCGTGCGTAGGCACTGTTTCAGTCAGATAACTGCTAACAAATCTTCACCCGCTAAGAGATACATGTTCAACATGCTGAACAGGCAACTGAAGGAATAATAGGTACTTCGAACAAAGAAATAATACGTAACTTAGAACATAGAAATAATAGGTATTAGGACCTAGAAAAAATAGGTAACTTAGAACACAGAATAATAGGTGCTTAGTACAAAGAATTAATAGGTAACTTAAAACATAGAAATAATAGGTAACTGAAGGAATAATAGGTACTTAGAAAAAAGAAATAGTAGGTAACTTAGAACATAGAAATAATAGGTAACTTAGAACCTAGAAAAAATAGGTAACTTAGAACATAGAAATAATAGGCAACGGAAAAAATAATAGGTACTTAGAACAAAGAAATAATATGTAACTTAGAACATAGAAATAATAGGTAACTTAGAACCTAAAAAAAATAGGTAACTTAAAACATAGAAATAATAGGCAACGGGAAGGAATAACAGGTACTTAGAACAAAGAAATAATAGGTAACTTAGAACCTAGAAAAAATAGGTAACTTAGAACCTAGAAAAAATAGGTAACTTACAGCACAGAAATAATAGGTAACTGAAGGAATAATAGATACTTAGAACAAAGAAATAATAGGTAACTTAAAACACAGAAATAATAGGTACTTAAAACAAAGAAATAATAGGTAACTTAAAACATAGAAATAATAGGTAACTGAAGGACTAATAGGTACTTAGAAAAAAGAAATAGTAGGTAAATTAGAACATAGAAAAATAGGTAATTTCGAACCTAGAAAAAATAGGTAACGAGACATAGAAATAATAGGCAACGGAAAAAAAAAAAATAATAGGTATTAGAACAAAGAAATAATATGTAAATTAGAACATAGAAATAAAGGTAATTAGAACCGAAAAATAGGGTATTAAAACATAGAATAATAGGCAACGGGAAGGAATAACAGGTACTTAGAACAAAGAAATAATAGGTAACTTAGAACCTAGAAAAAATAGGTAACTTACAGCACAGAAATAATAGGTAACTGAAGGAATAATAGATACTTAGAACAAAGAAATAATAGGTAACTTAGAACATAGACCCGTCATAAATAAAACGAAAACAGACGAAAGATTGGCTTGTCTCTTCTCTGGGTAAATTGCTCTCTTTTGATACACTGAATCATTTGCAAAACCGTACGACAAATATTTTTAAAGCATTTCTCCAAACCAATAAGAATTTTTCTTTGCTTCCAGATGCATCTTTTGTTGTACGCAATTTTCGTTACCTGCCTGCTGGTGGTGGCAGAAGAAACTTGCCCGGATGGGAAAACCTGCCCAGAAGGTAAGCGTTTAATATCATTCTATTCGTAAGGATAATTTTAAATTATCAAAGGCAAGTTTAAAGCAATCGAAATGTTACTCCAGATCCATAGGTTAATATTTAGTGTCAAATAAATGACTTCTCCGTTGTGAAAGAAGAATATGTCGAAGAATTGAATGTTAAAGCAACCTAGCTAGCAATAACCTAGTAATAAGCATAATTTAAATAAATTCTAAGAATTATAAAATCTAAATAATCAAAATATCCTTAGCTGCGTGAATGTAAATCACAAAAAAAAAAAAAAAAAAAAAAAAGAACATGTATCTATGTGAAAGCAACACAGAAACTTTTTAGAATGTTCCGCATAAATTATTATTATATATTAAATTACAGAAATCCTCTGTCGCCATCTATCGTCTGAAAAGTGAACGAAAAGCCATTAGTATCGAAGCATGCTTAGCTACGTGAATAGAAATGACGAAGAAAAAAGAACATGTATCTATGTAAAACCGACATAAAAATGTTCTGCAGTATTCTGCCTTAGTTATTATATACTAAATTATGGAAAACCCGTGACCAACTGAAAAGTGAACGAAAAACCACTGAGAAACACTGAAAATCTGAAAATTTCCTATTTTCTCTACTATTTTCCTGGAGGCACCCGTCATTTTCATTTTCCCAGCAGCTACAGCTTAAATTGCGCCAGAGAGCAACGGAGCCCGGATACTTCACAGTTTTTTTTTTTTTTTTTTCTTAGTTTTAATTTAACTACTAATTATTTTACTGATTATTTATTTATTTATTTTTGTTCTTGTTTCTTGACGACCTTCCCCAATGCTCCGGCACTTCTGATTTTAGAAATTAAGCCTTGGCCGTAGCTGAAGAAGTTTCTGTTTAAACTTCGAAACTAATATCTTGCAAATTTAGACCGATTTCTGTTGCTTTTTGTGACTTGCTTCAGTATTTAATATCCCGTTTGGTAGTAAATGTGAACAATTTACTGTTGTTGGTAGTTTTCCGGATTCTGTGGATAATTTTGATGGATGTCTCGACAGACGTACAGTCATTCAAATTACCTCAAAATTTAACCAAATTGAAAACGAAATTTTTTTAAATACGTTATTATACTTCTCGCGTAATGTAAAATTTGAAGCATAAATAATGAATCCCTTTGGATTCTGTAATACCTTCCGAATACCTTTTCTGTCACAATTTATATTAATTTGATAAAATGTTTTTACCGTCGTAACTGCATTAAAAATAGAAATATTAGGTACATAAATCTGTTCCTCTAATGTTGCTAAAATGTTACTAGAGTTTTAAAGCATTTATCAACTGAATCAGATTATATTATGTAACGTACAATGAGAGATTCTTTTCGTTCGAAAATATTCGATAACTAATCTTAAATTAACCAGATAAAAACTGATATGAAGATGGAACAATATGCTCCTGCTATATTGAAGACAAATAACACGAACCTGGAAATTTTCAAAATAACATATTTCAGTACTGTATGTAGTTAGTCTTTTTTTTTTTTTTTTTTTTTTTTTTTTTTTTTTTTTTAAGTGCAAAGGGGCTTTGTCCCTGAAGGATTATTATTTTCGTTTTGCAATTTTGCGTTGAATCGCTATGAATGTCCGTTTCCCTTTTCAAACTGTTGCCACCCAATGTTAGTATCCTGCATTATATTTGAAGAAATTAAATAATGAAAAATCTGCATAAATGTGTGTGTATTTCTCGCATTGTGATAAAACAATGGTACATAGAGCCATCGAATTTTGAATAACGTAATCCTACTGCGAATATGAGCACGTGGAAGCCCAAATTTGAAATTTGGAATTTGTTTTATGATCGATTTCATATTTTGTAAACCTTTAGCGAAATTTTGAGTAAAAAACTCAACGATTTAAAAGCGAGCAATGGCAACGCTCTATGGCGGGGGGGGGGGGGACCTTTTTATCTCGAGCGAGCGCGGAACTGTGTATCGGAAATTCTAAAGATAGGCTCATTTTAAAATTATGTTGCGACATTGCAACTGAACTCAATTTTATGGTTTAAGTACAAAGAACATGATATTTAATAAATAAAGGTAACACACAAAATGTTTAAAAAACGCCCCTTTGGACGCAATTTAAAATCTGAAACCTTTCAGATTTTATTATTATTATTATTATTATTATTATTACTATTATTATTATTATTATTATTATTATTATTTTATTCGAAACAACTTTTTTCCCTACATTTTAGTGTACTTTTAAAAATTTATTTAAATAATAAATGTGTAATAAAACCGTAATGAAAGTTCTTCATTTAATCTGTAAAATAGTGTAATCTAATCTTAAACAATAACTATGAAACTGTCGGTCATGAGTAATTGAACATGCTGTTACAAATATTGTACTTAGATAGGTAACTTTAGTAGAACTATAAATAAAATTGTATTTTTCGGTGTGATATAGCGCGAAACAAATTTTAAGAGAAAGCTAAGCGGGAAATGTAAGAAAAAAGAGGCAAATGCATTTAACATTGAGTAAATGGATATCTCGGTAATTTGGCGAGATATCGCCAAGCTGATGACGGTTTTGGCGGCTTATTTTGTCGATTTCTCGTGACGATTTATTCTCTGATCCCTGTATCAAGGTAATATGCATTGGCGACATTTTGGTCTGGTCCCTGTATCACGGTGATATGTATTGAAATTGAAAAAAAGTAATTGACCGCTATGTTAGCTGCAACCGTAATCCCACACTCTTATTGCTTTCCAGTAATTTGGATAAGCAGAAAGTACTAGAAATTCCTCGGCGGCTAGTTGAAAAGTATAAAAGCCCAGAGAGAAAGCGTCTGAGTTCAGTTGTTAGTTTTTGTCATCCGCGTGAACTGAAATATCCTAGTTAGCTTTTTCTTTAGATGCGTTTTGCATTGCGTTGTGTTTATCGTTCTAAGTAGTTTGAAGTGTGAACGTACAGTCCTGATTCCTGTACCTAATATTTCTATCTTTAATGCAGTTACAATGGTAAAAAACATTTTATTAAATTAATATAGATTGTGACAGAAAAGGTATTCGAAAGGAATTATAGAATCCAAAGGGATTCATTATTTATGCTTCAAATTTTACAGCCAGCGAGAAGTATAATAATACACGTATTTAAAAAAATTTCGTTTTCAAATTAGTTAAATTTTGAGACAAAAAGAACTGATTATACCGTGTAATACACTTGCACGAAAATTGCTGTGAAAAATTCCAAAGCTCTGAAATATTTCTTTTGACAAAAATTAATGTTTAATAACCTATTAGCGGACTTGTGCATTCATTCTATTACGAACTAGTACGCACTTAACAATGCTATATTAATTATTACGAATAAAGAACCAGTTACAAAAACATCTTGTCGTTATTAGAGAAGAGGATGTTTCTTTACTTGGTACTACGGAAAAGCACATAAAGATTGTACTTCATCATCTTTCAACTGCAAGTATAATTAATAATTTTTAAAAAAACAGAGGAATATTTGTCGGTATTCAACCGCAAAAATGCAGAAAAAAACATAACACTCCAAAAAGACATAACATCTCATTTCTTTCAAGTTGCATATGGGCGAGAATTTTCCATAGAAACGGAAGGTTAAATTATTGCTGCACAACGATAATCAACTGGCACTTACCTTTTCTGCGTTGATAAAATGTAAGTTATTATTACACAGACGTTTTTATCTACCAGCTATGTGACTTATTTAAGTAAAAAATGCTATATAATCCTGAACTTTAGCCTTTCGCTTAGAGTCCCAACTTTTTCTCCGTTTACAGGACGGCGCACATTGCATCTACCAACTTTAAATAACAATAAAAAGATGATGAGTGCTTAGAGTAACTTTAATATGTTTCTATGTATAATCCTAATACACACATATGCATTTAAGATGATGAGGGCTTAGAGTAACTTTAACTATGCACGCATATGCATTTAAATGATGAGGGAGAGAGACTTTCTATGTATAATCATAATATATGCATGTAAGATGCTTAGATGGAACTTAATGTGTTCTAGTAAATCATAATTATCATTTAAGATGAAGAGCTTAGAGTAACTTTAATGTAGTTAACATACGATGATTAGTAGCTTTAACTATGTAGAATCATAATACACACAATGCATTAGATGATAGAGCTTAGAGAATAACTTTACTGTGTTTCTATGTATAATCATAATACACATGCATTTAAGATGATGAGGCTTAGAGTAACTTAATGTGTTTCTATGTATATCCTATACACATATGCATTTAAGATGATGGGGCTTAGACAGATGTATAATCTATATACATATAAGATGATGAGGGCTTAGAGTAACTTTAATGTGTTTCTATGTATAATCATAATACACACATATGCATTTAAGATGATGAGGGCTTAGAGTAACTTTAATGTGTTTCTATGTATAATCCTAATACACACATATGCATTTAAGATGATGAGGGCTTAGAGTAACTTTAATGTGTTTCTATGTATAATCATAATACACACATATGCATTTAAGATGATGAGGCTTAGGAGTAACTTAATGTGTTTTCTGTATAATCATAATACACACATATGCATTTAAGATGATGAGGGCTTAGAGTAACTTTAATGTGTTTCTACGTATAATCATAATACACACATATGCATTTAAGATGATGAGGGCTTAGAGAGTAACTTTAATGTGTTTCTATGTATAATCATAATACACACATATGCATTTAAGATGATGAGTGCTTAGAGTAACTTTAATGTGTTTCTACGTATAATCATAATACACACATATGCATTTAAGATGATGAGGGCTTAGAGTAACTTTAATGTGTTTCTACGTATAATCATAATACACACATATGCATTTAAGATGATGAGGGCTAGAGAGTAACTTTAATGTGTTTCTATGTATAATCATAATACACACATATGCACTTAATGTTATGAGGGCTTAGAGTAACTTTAATGTGTTTCTATGTATAATCATAATACACACATATGCATTT